AACGGCAGAGTGGCCGGCCGAACGGCAAACATTTTGAAATGTTCCCTAATCGTGTACAACTTCAATCAACAAATGAAGCTGAAAAATATTTAATTGATATGATTGAAAATGGACAAATATTTGCATCAATTAATAAAAAAGATGGTATGGTTATATTTCATGGTTCACCAGAAAAATTTGATGCTAATAATATGTTATCAAAATTACAAGATGAAACAGAAAAACGTATGTTAGCTGAAAAACAATTAAGAGAATTAGAACGACAAATATCATTAAGTAAAACATATATTCAACGTACACAACAATCAAGTCCTTATCATGATCGTCCCAAAGTACTTAGTTAAGACATTGACTTATTTGAAAATTTTCTTTTCTGTTCTTCTTTGTCTTTTATTCATCGGTTTATTATCCAACAAACATATTAAACAATCGAGAAAGAAAACTTAACTTGTAAAAAAAAAACGAAGAACAACTAAAAAAAAATCTGATCAAATACATGTTGCGATGACGAAAACGTGCGGATTGGTGGCAACACTAACCTGCCAGAGTAACATTCTACAATAATAAAAAGAATAACACGTTTTACGTTACATGTCAGTGCAGTCCGTGGTATTTTGTTGGTGACATGGTTGTGACCAACAAATCATTAGTATGGAGTACGTGAGTGCCGTCAAATGTAAAATTCTATGGTCCGTAGTTACTTTCATCAAATATCATAATAGGATATGGCGCATGATGTTGCTCAATGGTAAGAAAGTTCTTTTTTGGTGAACGAAGTGCATTGTACAATGATAATATATTGTCACTAGTATATTTGAATGTAAAAGTTTTTCTCAGTATGCTTTATTTTGTACATGATTGAAAAAAAATACTACTAAACACTGTAAGGTCGTAAGCTGCACATCTTTAGTCCTTATCGAAAGATAATGACATTCTGACAGCATATTCGCTCATGAAGTTGGTGATTATAAATTCAATATGGATAGGCATTTCAATACCGACACAATCGATACCTGTCAGTCACGGAGACATTCGACTATTTGAGAAAAAACTTTCACATAATCCTAGACTCCTCTTGTGATAGAAGAAAAGAAAGAACCCAAACAGTAAAAAAGAATCGAATTTCCCCTTTTAAGTTACTTTCATGAAGATATTTGATTCATTGCTGAATCATGTTATATCTGGCAAAAAAGAATAAAACCGAATGAGTCTCATCATAGATCAACCTTGAAAAGGAACAATGTTCTAAGTTTTAAAAACAAAAGTGGCTAGAATTTTTAACAGGGATCCTATAGCACGGAAAAAACCACAGCAAGGTATAATGAACTCTTGCTTTTATTCAGTATAAGAGCGATTATCATCGGCAATGATGAGAATAATTCGACTATATTGAACAAATTCTATTAATTTCAGTGTGAAAAAACGTAACGTAAAATGCAAAAGTAATGACAAAAAAATGTTGATCCTTATATCTCTTCGATATAAAGGTCGTGAAAGAGAACTTCTTTTAACTAAACGATAGGGCCTTTTTCTCCTGTTTCGAATCGTATATAACCCACTTTTATATCATGTTTATAAACGAAACGATGCAACAGAAAAAAAGAAGAAGCGTAAGAAGAAAATTTGCACTTTTTTCTATACAAGGACAGCATATAATGTCAATCCTTGTATCTCTTCGATAAATAGGCTTTGAGAAGAATATTTGTTTATGAATTGATAGGAAATTTTCTACTCTTCCGAACAGTGTATGATTCATATATGTCGCATATTGATAAGTGAAACAAGAGAGAGAAAAAAGAGAAACACTTGTGAAATAAATTGTTTATGTTTATATGAATTCATCAGTGATATCTTGTTGATGATAGTTGATTATAATGAACTGTCGTTTGAAAAGATCTTTTTATTGAGTTCACAAAAGTTAAATTTATTGTTGTCTAACAAGATGTTTTTGACAAGTTCATATAAAGATTATAAACTTCTTATGCAGGTGTTTATCTTTTTCCAGTCTTGTTTCATTTAACCAATGTATGACAAATATAAATGATACACTATTTGAAAGAGGAGAAGATTTTTGCTATCAACTGATTAAAAAAATGTTCTTTTCGAAACGTATTTATCGAAGAATAATCAAAGAGAGATAGAGATCAACATTTTTCGCTCTTTTGCTGAATCTTATGAGAAGTGCAGATACTTTAAAATGTGCTTCTCTTTTCTATTGCATCGTGTTGTTTATGAACGTGTTATAAAAATAAGTTATATATAATTGGAAAGAGAAGAACAAGCTCTATCGTTTGATAAAGAGGAAGTTTTCTTTCAGCACTCTTTGATCGAAGAGAAATAGGGATCGACATTTTGTGCCATTAATTTTGCATCATACGTTATATATGATTGTATTAAACAAAGTAATCAACTCAAGTAAAATAATTTAATTCATAGTGAATGAAGTTAAAAAAGAAATTTTTTCTAAAGCCTTTAATAAATACGTTAAATGAACTTGTTTCTTTTGAAATAGGAGAAGTTCTGAAAATATGGCAAAAGTTTGCATCAGTGGAACAATGATACGAAAACCATACTGAAATCTTGAGAGTTACTCTTATGAATGTGAACCAATCGGCAGATGAAAAAAATTGTTTAATAACTATTGTTCAAGTACTTTGTATGTCTCTTGGTGCAGTATTATTCTATACAGATATCTATGGTTATCTTGCATCGTACAAATGAAAACAAAAGATTCAAACAACAATAGCATGTGAAAATAAAATCGACGTTCTTTTTTGCAACAAGACTGGGTTGGAAAAAAAAGCAAATGATTTGAACTTGGATCCGGTGCAACTTTTAATTGACAAAAAAGTTGTTGGTTTTTCTCCATTTCGTTGATTGACTTGGAAGATAGGGCTTTGCTTTGGAAAAGACTACAAACGATAAGAACATCAATTGAACTGTTGTATGGCGATAGAACTACTAAAGGAAAACAGAAAATAAAAAAAAAACGATATTCTTTTAGCATATACTGAACGTTGTAGAGACGAAAGGATGCAAGTGTTTTTCGGATATTTATTGTTAATTGGAAAATTTAATTTCTAGTTGAATGTGAATATAAGAAAAATGAATCGGGAAACAATATTTTGCATTATAAAAGATGTTAAGGAGTGGTATGGAACGTGGAAGTAAAAAGCAAAGTGAAACAAAGAATGAAAATCAAATATCGTTCACAGAAACGTGGTCATACGAAACGTTTTTTATATTATAACTGAATCTAAATATTATGCTTTTATTGCAAATAATAGTTCTGTTCGATAGTGTATCGTTTAACATAGTTTGAGAGACTTTTGTCGATAGATATCATGCTTGTGATGCAAACCTCTCCATATGGTTTGCAGTGCCGAGACGATCTGTGGTACAGGTCCGGGTGAACTCCAGTGATGTAGGCCAATATCCAAAAATCCGTTCGAAAGAGTCTGTTCTCAATGGAACCAGCGCCGACTTTGAAACAAACGAGAACAGATACTACACTTTGATCTTAGCCGAAAAGGTCGAGAAACGATAACTATTTTAATGAAATTAAATCTCCACTATGGTCTTTTGTATACGCATTACTTGCTGCATAGAACAAAAAAAAATATATGATGTGTGAGAACAACATAGATATCGTGTCCCATAGGTGCGCGAGTAAAGTTACTTCTTGCAACTTACCAAGAGATTTTCATTTGATCATGACATCTTCATCAGAACCATTATTTATAAAATACGTAATTCTAGAAGAATCTATTCTTACAATTGATACATCGGATAAACATTGGCTCGCTTCTGAAGCATTTTTATCAAATGAAAAACTTAATGTTAAAAAAGTTGATGACATTAACAAATTTGTATATAATCCATTACTTGATTTAAAAGCTCAAAAAAAAAAATAATATCTTTTTAGCCGTTTAAAATCATGACATGGAAGATGTGAAAGTGATCTAACTATTGATGATGTATGAGATACAATACTCAAAAGCAAGAGCTTATAAACCCCCCCTCATATTAAAAGACCCAGGGTCTTGTATAATGTTTAAGCGGAAAATTTTTTTAGGGAGGTCTTGTATTATGACTCTCGTATTTTCGCGATTTTTTTAGAAACTCACAATTATTTTCGAAGAATTTAGTAAATGCAAGTTTAAGTACAAGTCTTACGGCTCCTCAATTTTTATTATAGTAATCAGATGCTGGGAAAAACATCACCCACACCCTTCCCACAGCAACAAACAATAGGAAGTAATTAATATCAACGGCTATCTTATTTTATAATCTGTAATTTCTAATTTCTCTTCTAAATATTATGCTTTTAAGTTTTGTAAAACTCACATATATTTTCGAAGGAACTAACAGTGATCGTAGGTTTGAATCAAGATTTTTCAGCTTGTCCCCTCTTCCCCATTATATGTCGTAGCAATCATTTAGATTTAATACCCGTAGAATAAAAAAATGAAAACAAATGGTTGCTCTCAGGTAAAAAAATTTAAAAAGTGGCGTTTTCCATGATGAAAAGGGTATAATCATGCATGTTTCTTATTTTCATTGATTAAAATCAAAATTTTTACCACTCTCGTTTCATGATTTTGATTTCTAATCATTTTCATTATAATGATCTTGATTAGAAATCAAAATCATGAAATGTAATTCGTGAAACTTTCATTTTAAACGATGAAAATACAAAACATGTATGATTATATCCCTTTCATTATGAAGTATGGCATTTTTTTCGTTTTTCTATTCCCTGGGAAGGTTGTGAAAACTTCTACAATCATTGCTTTTCAATAGTTCGAATATTTTTATGAGCATTCGCAAAAAGCTAGCCTCCTTTTTTGCGCAGATAAAAGTTTATACGATCCATTTGAAAGATAATCTTTTGTGATTTTTCATAACGGTAGTATAAGTTATATAAAATCGTGATCAAACTACTTTCTAACTTTTAGAAATATTTATTTTGTGTCTTATTCAGTACATTAGTATGCATACAAGATTGTTAGAATATGGCGAAGATAGACCCAATGTCTATACTAAGATTATTTAATCATTAAATTAGAGCTTGAATGGAATAATACGAAATAATGATAATATAGATTAACAGAAGAATAACACATTGCGAATGGCAACAGGAAAAGAAACGCATTAGAGAAAAAATATGTTTGAAATGTACGAATAGAAACTACTCGAAATTAATCATTATGACCAATGTTTTTTTTGAAGTTTAACATTCAGCGTCGCTTGTCATAATATTATAAATATATTCAGGAAATCTGATAACTGGAATGAAGGAGAGATAGGAATTCGAAATGAAATAGTTTCTTCAGAATAATGT